GTCAAATGCCTTAGGTGCTACACCACTAGAGCTCCTTCTAAGAACCTATATAGCACCTGGTATTCCCAGGCAGCCTCCTATCCAAGCACTAACCAGGACCAACCCTGCTTAGCTTCTGAGATCTGGTGAGACTGGGTGTGTCCAGGGTGGTATGGCCAATCAAGTATTTCTGCTCTGTGGTCTTTACTTGGTCCTCAGAAAGGTTCTCAATCAGGTTTGACCCTGTCACAGCCCTCACCTGGCCATTTTACACAAAGCATCATGAAGCTCACTCAGGGGTGGTGGGCATATGGGTCACATACAGGAAAGATGTCCAAGGGCAGGAATTAGTAAGTCAAGCAAAGAAAGAACCTTGCCTACCCAACTAACCAGAGGAAAAAAAAAAAAAAAACTCAAGCGTTGAAAGGGAAGTTGCCAGAATCCAAACCAAAAAAGTCATATGAGCCCCAAATAGCAGAGGGCTAAGTCCAAAATTTGCCTGGCTAATGGAATATTAAAGATTTAGTTACCCCACCCAAACTAGAAAAAAGAATTACAGAAGTCCATATACTTAGGAGAGTTGTCATATGCTGGTGAAAGAATGGCAAGTCAATGAGCACCATTTGCTTTGAAGTCAAGATGATCTTTCAGCCTGGGTGGAGAACGAAATGAGCCATATTGTCAACTCACAAGAGAAAAAGAAAAAAAAAAAAAAAGGTTTTTTTTTTTCCAATTGAAATTTTCCTATTACTGCTTATATAATGAAAACTATAAAAGACTGTTGAAAGAGATTAAAGAAGACTTAAATAAATGGAAAGATGTTCCATGTTCATGGATTAGAAGACTTATTATTGTTAAGATGTCAATACTACCAAAAATGATCTATAGATCCAAAGTAATCGTGATCACAATTCAACATCCTTCTTTACAGAAATAGAAAAACTAATTTTCAACTTTATATGGACTAGAAAGAGGCCCCAGATAAAACAATGTTGAAAGAGAGGAACAAAGTAGGAGGACTCACTTCTTGATTTTAGAACATTCTATACAGCTACAGTAATTAAAATAGCCTGGTACTGGTATAACAATAGACACATAGAGCAATGGAATAGATTTGAGAGCCCCAAAATAAGCCCATATATCTATGGTCAACTGATTTTTGATAAGAGTGCTAAGTTTGTTCAATGGGGAAAAAACAATCTTCTCAATAAATGCTGCTGGGAAAATTGGATTTCTATATGCAGATAAATAAAACAGGATCCATGTCTCACACTGTGCACAAAACAAATTCAAAATAGATTAAGGATCTAAATGTGCAAATTAAAATATAGGATTCTTAGAAGAACAAACAGGAGCAACACTGTCAGGCCTAGCTTTCAACAATGGATTATCTAATATAATAACAAAAGCACAAACAGCAAAAGACAAAATAAATTTCATAAAAGTTAAAAACTTCTGTTTATCAAAAGACTTTACCAAAAATTTGAAAAGACAAGCTACTGACTAGGAGAACATCTTTGGAAATCCTATCTCCAACAAGGATCTAATAACCAAAATATATATAAAACTTCAACCACTTAACAGCAAAAAGACAACCCAATCATAAAACAGGCAAAGGATCTGAAGAGACATTTCACCAAAGAGAACATTCAAATGGCCACCAAACACATGAAAAACATGATCAGCATCATTAGCCATCCAAAACTAAAATCTATTGCCCTCAAATCAGTTCTGACTCATAGTGACCCTGTAGAACAGAGCAGAACTGCCCCATAGGGTTTCCAAGCCTAAAGACTGCCACATCTCTCTCCAACGGAGCAACCAGTGGGTTCGAATCACCAACCTTTCAGTCAGAAGCTGAGTGCTTTAACCACTGCAACACCAGGGCTCCTCTCATTGGCCATCAGAGAGATGTGAATCAAAACCACAATGAGATACCACTTCACTTCCACTAGGATGACTGATTTAATAAATAATGTTGGCAAGGTTGTGGGGAAACTGGAACCCTTATCCATTGCTAGTGGGAATACAAAATGCTACAGCCACTATGGAAACAATGTGGCACTTCCTCAAAAACCCAAAAATAGAGCTACCATTTGACCTAGCAAGTCCTAGACTTGAAAGCAGAGTCTCAAAAAGAGACCTGTACACCAATGTTCATTGCAGCACTATTCACAATAGCCAAAAGGTGGAAACAGCCTAAATGCCCATCAACGTAAACAAAATGTGGTACATACATATAATGGAATACTACTCAGCCAGTAGGAGGAATGAGGTCTTGATACCTGCTACTGTATGGATGGAGATTGAAGACATTATGCTGAGCTAAATAAGCAAAGCACAAAAGAACAAATATTACATGACCTCATTTATATAAAAAGACAAGAAAAGGCAAATGTATAGAGACCAAAGTTTATTAGTGGTTTCCAGAGGCAGGAGGGAGTGGGGGAATGGGTGTTAATGGTGATGGAAAAATTGAATTGATTAAGGATAAGGTTGCACAGCTGGTTATTATAATAACTGTCAATAAGTTGTACACCTATAAAAAGTTGAATTGGCAAAAGTTGTGTGATAGATATATTTATAACAAAGACAAAAAGAGAGAGAGAGAGAAGTAGCTGCCAAGGCTGCTGGATGTACAAACACCTCATGGGATTTGGTTCCTTAGTTTGAAGGTTTAGGGTCATGGTTTCATGGGACATCCCAGTTAACCGGCCTAATAATGTGTTTAGTGCTTCTGTTCTACCTCCTAGTTTGTTGCATAGTGCCTGGGGTCTTAAATGCTTGCAAGTGGCCATTGAAAGCACAAAATTGGTTTCTACTCACCCGGAGTAGTGGAGGAAGAAGAAGAGTCAGGAATAGAAGGAGGATATAGAATGTGTGGCTAATTGCTTCCATGAACAACTGCCTCCTCTGCCATGAGACCAGAAGAACTGGATGGTGCTCAGCTACCATAACTAAACATGTTGATCAAAGTTTCCCTAGAAGAATCCTGATCAAAAGGGGGGCAATGCAGAACAGGATTTAAAATTCTCATGGACTTTAGACTTTCTGGAGCCATGGAGGGTAGATGAGATCCTAAAACTATTACCCTGAGATAATCTGTAAATCCTAAACCAAAAATATCCCCAGTTTTCTTAAAACTGAACAATAGTTTAGCTTAGATTAGTAAAAAAAGAAAAGAAAGAAACAAAAAAGAAAAGAAAAAAAGGTCTGCTTTGAGCATTATGCTCTTTTAAGTCCTTTCTATATGGGATCAAATTGACAACAGCAACTCAAAAGATTAAATAGGAACCTTAGGGAGCAATGAGTTTATGTTAATGAGGGAAAAACAACTCAGAATAGGAGCTTAAGAACGGTTGCACAACTTGAAGAATATAATCAGTGTCTCTAAATTGTACACGTAAAAACTATTGAATTGGTGTATGTTTTGCTGTGTATATTCTCAGCAGCAACAAGAAAATAAATAAAATTTAAGAAAAAAATTTGCCCATTAGCAATTACCTACAGACAAAAATCTCCCAAAACTGCATCTCTTAGCAAAAATAAAGCCATGATCTGAGTCTCCCCTGAAATTAGCCAAGCCATGACAGGGACGGGAGACATTGTGCCTCCAAGGTGAGGCCACTAAAATGCCAGTCCCACAGCTCTGCCACCAACATCAGCATAGGCTCCTACTCAGACAAGCCTTGGCTTGGAAAGTGGCCTGACCTCCAGCATCTGCTTGTATCCTCTTCCTCACAAACATACTGCATGGACCATGGAGCTCCTGTTCCTGTGGCTTCCTGGCAGATACTCTCTCCATGTTCTAGGAGGACTAAGGTCCTGAAGTTGCTTCAGGGTCACCAAAGGACACTGACTTCATTGCCTCTGGGTTTTGCCCCTCTCCACTCTAGACAGAATTTCCCCTGAGAATGCCTAGGTCTGACTCCTGACAGTCCCTCTGGCCTTCTCCAACTTCCAACAAACAATGGCTTCCAGCAGTCTTGGCTTTTTGGGGGCATGGAGAGCCTGGAAGTAGGCTGGTCAGAGGACCCAAATCTGATCTTTGGCTCTGTGAACTTGGAAGGGTTGAGAATCAGGATCTCTAAGCAGGAAGAGAAGCGCAGCAGAGTGAGCTGGTTGTGGATCACTCTCCTTGCCCAGAAAAGTCTCTGCAAATTATTTGCGCAGATCACTCTCCTTGACCAGAGAACCTGAAGCAGACTGCAGCTGCCTCACAGTTTTCCCAAGCAGAACTTAGGATGCAGATCAAAGTGGTGCAGAGGGTAGGCTCTGAAGTGGGTATCTTCTTAAACCTGTCAGTGAGACCTGAGCCAGATGATGTAACTGGTCTCTGCACAGCCCTCAGTCCAGTCAAGAATACCATGTCATTCAGAGCACTCTCACAGTGGCCACCTAAGTCAACATCAGGAAAGGGGGTGTGAAAACAACTACCCTGAAAACCGTTAGAACCCGAATAGGCACCAATTGAGACCTATAGCCTCTAGAAGCCTCCATTACCCTGACCATGGTGGATGCCTCTGTCACAGCAGAATAAACAAAGGCAAACAGTGACAGTCTTTGGCTGTGATGGACCAGAGATCATAGGCCTGCTGTATGTCAGAACCCCTCTCACTTCTTTTACTTACTTATAAGCCCAAGAGTTCAGAAACATACATTGCTCTTGAGCCCTGGACAGTGAAGGGTGAGAAAGGTCTGTCTCCTCAGCAGAAAGAATCCACCAAAGAAGTCCAGTCCTCCCGAGCCTGACCAGGCTTGGTCTTGTCTAGAGGACTCTACACGTCTGATTATTCCGGTAATAGGCAACACCTCCCACTTTGCTGTTTATTACTGAAATCTCTGTAGTGGATGCAGTATGGCTCCCAAATAAATGTAGAATCAAACGGCAAAGAAGAGCACTACACAGCTTGACAAGACTCGTCTCACACCCACAACCTGAAGAGAATGAGCTGAAAGGTGGGAAGGAATGGTCCACAGGATGAGGCACTAACTGCCAGTGCTCGGTCTCCTTCCAACTCTCACACCTGAGAGATGCTGTTGGTTAGGCGGAATGACATCCTTTTTGTTCTCTCATTCTCCTGAAAAGAAAAAATATATATATTTGGAATTGGAATGGCCACACGTAGAATTTATTAAGGTGAAAAGGCTAAATGCTGAGATGAGAATTTCCCAGAGTCAAAATGCTCTGGTAGCATAGTGGCTAAGGCATTTGACTGCTAACCAGAAGGCTGGCGGTTCAAACCCACCAGCCACTCCTCAGAAGGACGGTTGGGCATTCCTACTTCCATAGTGATACTGCCTCGGAAACCCAAGGAGGGGTCGCTATGAGTTGAGGCCGACTCGATGGCAAACAACAACAACAACAACAACCAGAAATGCAATAGCAAAACTCACAGAAGCCACTAACCAATGTCTGATAAACAACTGGGGATGGCTGGTCAAGCCCAGCCAAACAGTAGGCAGGTAATAAATGTCAGTGTGATTAATTATACAGCATTGAATTGGTGTCTACACAGGTGGGATCAGGATCAGCCAAAAGGCCAAAGGATCTCTCTTTGCTACAAATAACACATCTCCTTCCTTCCCTCCACCAAGGAGCAGGAAAAGATCCCTTCCTTTCTCCCTCAAAGCCAAATAGAGACCAAGAACTAAGACCAGATGTTTCTCTTTATGGCCATCATGGCCATAGTATAATAAGCACTGAGCTGGGAAGTGAGGCCTGGTTTCTCACCCTAGTTCTCTCATTAATTTGCTGGATGACTGTATGGATGGCATTGTGTCCCCCATTTGGGAATGGGTTGTCTCTGTTATGTTAATGAAGCAGAACTAGTATAGGGTATACAGTGAGTCAATCTCTTGAAATATAAATGAGATTAAACAAGAAAGCAGAGCAGAGATGGGGAAAGAGGGATGCCAAGCCACATGAAGATTGCTCAGGAGCAGAAGCTCAGAAGAGACAAGGACTTTCCTCCAGAACCAACAGAGAGGGAACCTTGTCCCCTAGAGCTGGCACCCTGAATTTGGACTTCTAGCCTCCTAAGCTGTGAGAAAAAAAGTTTCGGTTTGTTAAAGCCACCCATTTGTGGTATTTCTGTTATAGCAACATTAAGACAGTGACCTTGGGCATGCACATTCACCTCTCTCACTTCCAATCCTCATTGGAAACTGGAACTGATGATGCTTGCATTACCCTGCCTTTCTACAGGCTGAAGGATTGGAAGTGAGGGTTCACTGTTACCACTATCTCTCGTGCCACCTCAGCCACTTTACATTAGGTTGCTCTGGACATGTCGCTCAAATGCCCACTGACTGCCCACCCCCACCCTGTTTGCCAGCTGGCAGCAATTCTTTACCATATGACGCCGCCGCCTTTTGGGCTGGATGCCCTCTTGTATGTAGTGTGGCCATGGGAAGCCCTGGGGAGTGGAACATCCACTCTCACTAGACACCTCCTCAGAGTCTGAGTCCTCCTGCCTTGGCTGGGCAAACCGTTTATCTGGGTAGATCTCCTTCAACCAGCCCTCAAAGAACACTTCCAGGCAGCGGCCAGCCTCTGCAACCTCTGAGTCAGGCTGAGGGAAGAGAACAGCAATGATGGTCACCTCCTCCAGATGGCTCAAACCCTGGGCTGAGATTGATGGGACACCCGGAAGTTGGCGTTTTCACCTCAGGTCTCAAGATAACCATTTTGGCATCAGCTCTAAAAGCAGAAGTGACCCTGACAGATGGCCCAATCACTAGCCCCTCCCCATCTTTGCCCTGAGTCCATGAGATTCCCAAGTGTAGGAGAGAGCTTTTAAGCCCATAGCAGCCCAGGACCCAACCTGACTCCTCATCTAGCTGGGACAGTCTCCAAGCCACTGGGGAGTAGAGGCGAGGGAAGCAGGGCAGGACCTACGTAATTGAACTTAGCACAGTTCCAGAACATGAGGCGCACATCTGACACCACCTCCTCTGGGGTGGTGTAATGAGCTGGGTCCTTCTTTTGCAGCTTCCTTCGGATGATTGACAGATCCATGGGCCTCTTGATAATCTGGTAATAATGCCGGGCCTCGTAAAGAGAGAAGGGAAAGAGGAAGACAAAAGTGAAGGTACAAATGTGAAGGAAAAATGGGTGGAGAATGAGTTGGAATAGAACAAATGGAAGAAAGAAACAGTAAGAAGCAGCAGGAAATAAAAAAGAGAAAGAAGACAGAGAGAAAGGGCAAAGGAGGAATGGGTCACTTGACAAGTCAGGTCTGATGCTGTAGCAGTTGGGAGTATGGAGTGACCATGGTTCCCAGCTCCCCTGGACCATCCACAAATTAGTATTACTTCCAGAGGCCATGCTCTGAGTCTACCCAGGGAACCACAGTGACCCTACCAATGTCCTTGGGTCCTCTGAGCAAAAAGGACAGTAGCAGACAGAAACGGTGGGGTCTTCCTTACCAGGGGGCTGACGGGTTCATGGAAGGGCAGGCTGAGGCTATTGCAGCACAGGGACAGCACCAGCTTCTCACACTTCTGCAGAAATCAGAATTGGTGACAGTGTTATTTTGTTCTGGCCCTGTCTCAATAAGAACTAAAGCTGGTGACTCTGATAACTTTAGAAGGCTTGGCTGTCCCACAGGGTGTGAACCACCACACTAAGACACAGTGTAGGTTCCCAGGCCAGAGAAAAACAGTTAGCAGAAGGAAAATCATGGCAACCCCTCATGAGCCAAGTTGCTAGGCAGAGGCCAAAAGAGAGGTGCCAGAAAAGGCCTTCCGTTCCCTCGGAGAAGCCTCAGTCCCTATAGGCATAGGAAGGGCTGCCCTGAGCAGGAGACCCTGCTCCCAAAGACTCTTCCCTACCTTCTGGTCATACATGCTCAGTCCAGGAGGTGCCCTCACTCCAGGCTGGTTGTAGCGGGCATTCTCACAGTCGTATTCCATCTCAGGCTGGGTCAGGCTGCGGCATAAGGTACATACCCACTCCCCCCTGCATAGACAGATGAGGCCAAGGCAGGCCAAGTTGGTGTTAACAGCACCACCATTCCCTGTCCCTCTGCCTTAAGAGAGACATGGTAGCAGTGGCATGGGAAACTGAGTCCCTAGACCTGCCCTATAGGGAATGGATTCCTAGACACAAGCTTGAAAGAAATTCAATAATTCAGTGTTTAGTGAATCCAGAAAAACAGGAGTTATGAAAGGAGCTGGGGCAGGAGTAAGGGGACAAATCTATGTGCAGGAAGAAGCTGGGAACAGAGAAGGAAGCGACGACAACCAAATATCAAACATCCACCTGTCTGTGTGCAGAAGGCACACAGCTGTAAGGCCCACCAATTCACACATCTCAAATCCTGAAGGCCTGGAAAGGGGAGATAAGCTTGTCCTGGGGAGCTGTGTGGGGCTTGGCCTGGAATAATAATCACTGAGAGATAACTCTGCTTGCCAGGCAATGGCCCTGGGCTGGTATGACTCACCCTGGAAAGCTGAGCAAGGCAGGCACATGGCAGGAGAGGTGGTACACTTTCGGGCAGCGATCACAGCACAGCAACTCTCCCCCATTGAGGCACACAGCACAGAAGTCTTCATTCTCTATGGGTGCTGGGGGGCCCTTCTTGGCTACAGGGTTTCGAGGAATGAGTCTGTGTTCCTCAGAAGCTGCACTCTCCACATCCGGTGGCCTCTGCCCAGCCAGAGAAGTGACGGTGACCTTTCTTCCCCCGAGACTTGGGGCTTGGATGGCATCAGGCAGGTTGTCCTGGCTGACCTTGGAGAAGATGTGAGTCTGAGTGATTGGAGCACAACACCTACTATTTGTTGGGGGAGGGAAGGAGAACAGCAGGCCCTGAGCACCTACTGTGAGAACCACTTATTCCAGGACCCCAAGCCAGCCACACCCCATGAATTCTGGGACACCTCATTCATAATGTACATCTTACAGGCTCCTTGCAGTAAGGACAAAATCTGACCAAGCCGCAGCCCCACTCGGGGCCTTAGGCCAAGGCCCCTGAGCCAGAATTCTGGCAGCAGCAGAGAAAAAGGAGAGATTCGTGTGTTGGGTCATGGTTGAAGGCCAAGGCAGAGCAAAGTGGTACCCAGGGCTTTGAACCCGTTCAAACCGATTCAGTCATGGACAATGAAGTGAAATTGGAACAGATCAAAATTTTTGAAGTTTGAGTGAGGTAGAATGATAACCAGAATGGGAAAAATTATAGGTCAAAGCCCTGGAATGGGAGACTTGGAAGAAGCATAGTGAGCCCTTTCAAGGGGCTGACATGGGAGATTGGATTATTGCCAGGATTATGAAGAGCAACACACATTCAAAGTGGCCATAGTCAGCTGCCATCTTTGACTGAGGCACCATTGTTTCCTACTGTGCTGTTCAAGAGACTTAGTTGCTATGCAACATGCACACTGCCCTTGTTTTCTAGGAGGGAGATTAAGTTTCTAGCAAGACATTGACTTGTAATTTTTCCCATTCTAGTTTTGTTCTAGTTCACAGATATTTTACAAATTTGGATTCATTCTGGTTTCTCTTCATCAGCCATGACTTAACTGGAAGAACTGGTGGTACCTTAATAGACATGCTGGAGGACTCAGTGCCACACTCAATGATCAGCAGGAAGCTCCCATCCTGATCATTCTTCTGTGGTTTCAGCTTGAATACAGGCATCTCTCCCGAGGAGGCGGCACAAATCTTGAGTCGCTCCAGTCGCACATAGGGAATCTTGGGCTCACTGTTTAAGGCTCTGTGGGTAAAGAAACACCCCTGAGTCTTGGTGGGAGCCTTCTCAGTCTCTAAGCTAAACAAGAGAGTTCCCTGAAGAGGGAGGAGTGCACACAGAGTGCCCATCACACGGGGCAGGAGCCAGGATGCCCTCCTACAATCATCCAAGACATTCAATCACACACACTTGAAGGTCTAGGGGTTAAAGAAAGCAGTTAGAGGGAAATTTCTCTTTTCAGTTAAGTCATCAAAGATGCTTATTTTCTCTGCCAATCTCCCAAGACATGAAAGTTGAGGGTGAGGGAAGTTGGGCCAAGAGTTTGTTACCTGATGCTCTGGTTCTCATTTGTATCCAGCTCTAGGGTTCCTTGTTCAAAATTCTCATACTCTAAGGACAAAGACAAATACCTGTGCCATATATTTGTGACAATACATCTGCCACCCATACCTGTAATCACTTGTTAACACAGTTTAAAACCAAAAACCAAAAGCAAAAACTCACTGCTGTTGAATCAGTACCGACTCATAGCGACCCCTCCTTGGGCTTCTGAGGTGGTATCACTACGGAAGTAGATTGTCCCATCTTCCTTCCGAGGAGTGGTAGGTGGGTTTGAACTGCCAGCCTTCTGGTTAGCAGTCAAATGCCTTAGGCACTATGCCACCAGAGCTCTGTTTACCCATAACTGAACTAATAAAGCTGTAATCACATACCTTTCACTACTCCTGTCACCCATACCTGCTACTCATTTCTACTACTCACACTTTTAGCCACATACCTGATACACTACTATGACTCATTCTATAATCATCGGTAGTGGTGACCATGCTACCATGGGTCTCCTTGAGAGGGGAGTATGGCTACCTTGTTTTAAAAAGATGAACACTCAAAGGCTGGGTTGGGTCAGGCACAGAGGGGCCAGATTCTCACTCTTGAAATGAGCTAGAAGTCATTTATTCCCAGTGCTTGGGCATTGCCTGCTCTCGGGAGTCATCCTGTCTGGCCTCTGCCTTTTCTGTCAGGTACTGGGATTCTAGCAATGCCTGAATCCAGCTCACACACCATAGGCAATAGGGAGCCCAGCTGGTGCAGTCTGTATAGATGGGCAAGAGGTAATGGTAAGGAGAGAAGGGGGAACTAACAGTTATGTAGCACCCACTCAGCTCCAGGCAAAACCCTAGGCACTTTACAAGTGATACAGTAAAATCCAGCATATGGACAACCAAAGTCCAAAAATTGTAATTGCATAAAACGCATGTTTACATTATTGTACAGTTATTAAGAACAATAATTGTTCAAATGATCTTTCAGGCAGTGTAAGGAAAAAAAAAAAAAGGATCATTACAACAAACTAAACAGACATCAAACACTAAACTGGAAAAGCCCCAAATCATCACCAGGCAGTTGCTTCCTATCTCCCCAATTAGTCCTCACCTTCCACAGAAGAAGGAAAACTTAGCCCTGCTCCCTAGAGAAGGGGCGTGAATAACTGAGCAGATCACAGCCAATCTCCAATCCTCCAAATTCCCTTTACTATGGGCACAACGCAAATCCACACTACTGCCAGTGCAAGGCAAATTCTTGTTACTACAGAGTCAGTTACCAAGTGGTTTTACTATACTAATTTGTCCCAGTAGCCTATGAAGTAGACATGATTAGCCCCATTTAGAGAGAAAGAAAGGAGCTCTGGTAGCATAGTGCCTAAAGCATTTGACTGCTAACCAAAAGGCTGGCGGTTCAAACCAACCAGCCACTCCTCGGAAGGAAGGTTGGGCAATCTACTTCCGTAGTGATACCACCTCAGAAACCCAAGGAGTGGTCGGTATGAGTCGGATCTGACTTGACAGCAGTGTGTTGCGTTTAGAGAGAAAGTTACTGCGTTTAGAGAGAAAGAAACCAGTTCAGAGAGGTTAAGTATCTTACCTAGGATTGAACATAAAGAGAAAGAACTGGTTTTTAAATCAGAGTTGTCTGACTTCAAGGTTCATGTTGTTTGCCCTGTATTATTTTGCCAAGGCTAGCCCTTCTGGGGTGAGTTTTCCTGTTCCCCTCTACCTATAACCCAGACTTTCAGGAGTTCTTGCAAAGGGGACATCACAAGAAGGCCAAGTCCTGACCATGGCTGCATTAGCTGAGGCTACAGTGAGGAAAGTAGAACAGCTATTTACAAGTCAGTTCTGGAGAGGAGAACTGAATTAGCCGTAGAGACAAATGCTGCTCTCCAGGCTCAGAGCCTGTCTACTGGCCTGTCTTGTTTAGGAAGTGCAGAGTCCATCTGCTCAAGTCCATGGCCAGTGCAAAAGGCAGACTGCTTACTCGAGCCTCACCTTTTGGGTTCCGGTACTGCTGCAGAGCCATGGATGTGTTGACTGGTGGGGCCAATGGAGGTCTTTTCACTGACAGGTTAATTGGTTCCTCAAGTTCTGAGGGGACACTCAAGTCCTTGGGAGCATCCAGACTATGGATCGTGGGGCCTTGCACCAGAGAGTCAGTGAAGCGGGCGGGCTCCTCACTTTCCATCTTTCAAAAGTAAAAGGCCAACAAGAATCAAAGAAGTGAGATATTTTGCATTGTAAGTCTAAGAGCTGTTAAGCTAAGGCCAGAATAAGGCCAACCTTTTGCCCAGTGATAAGTAGAGGGAGCCGGATGTATTTTGCCAAGACTTACCTTACACAGGGCATTTCCCCGGGAGCGGTCTGCCTCATCCGTGGGGACCAGCGGCACAGCTCGGCAGGAGCCAGAGCTGGAGCTGGATCCAGTTTCTGGCTGCGTGTCAGAAGTTGGAGGCATGTTCTGTAGAGGGCAAGATGCCAGGCTAGGCACAGCCTGGGTGTGACCAGACATTAGGCTGGGCCTGGCCTGAGAGTGATCACTTGCCAGGCTTTTGGTTGCCTGAGGGGGTTCACTCATCAGATTAGGCATGGATTGATGGGTGCTACGCACCAGGCTGGGCACGGTCTGTAGGTGGTTAGTTGTCAGGCTAGATATGGGCTGGCTCTGACCACTTGTCAGGGACCCACTCAGAAGACTTGGTACTGCCTGGGGAGGGCCAGCTGTCAGGCTGCTTACGCTCTGGATCTGGGGGTCAAGGGTCCTTGTCAGCCTGGGAGATGACACCTCCATCTCCAGAGTATTAGAAAAGCCCATAATGCTCACCGAGGTGGAGTGCTGCAGGAACAGAGGCAAGGATAAAGTTAGGCTGTTATCTGAGAAGGGTGGGAAGGAGAGGAGAGACCCAACCCACAAAAGCTCCCAGGCTCAGATTTCACTCTGGCCTCAGTCTCATAGCTGCAGAGAATTCAGGTAGCACATGAAGTCCTGTTCCTATTACCTAGCACCAAAGAGGTTGCCAGACAACAATACAGAGAGGCAGACACAGGCTGAAAACATTGGTAAGTGTGTGTGTACGTGTGTATATGTGAGAGGGAGAGAGACAGAGAGCCTACTGCCTGGCCTGTGGTATTTGAGTTACACACTCATATACATCACCATCATCATCAGTAGCAGCAGCAGCAGCGGCAGCTATATCCCCAACCCCTAATCCAGTATCTAATCAAAGGATTGGACTGTGAGACTGCCCTCCCATTTCACATTCCCCTCTGGCTGTACCACTAGTGGTTTATCTTCCCTTCAGGAAGGCCCACTAGGTGATTTCTGTTACATACAGTGGCAAGGAGTTAAGAAGGCTCATACTCTGATCTACCTCAGACCTCCTTTGAGAGAATGCCAAGGCTTAGGTAGTCCCAAACAGTCCTGAGAAGCCTGGGTCAACTCCAAGGTCTTCTCACAGATTTATTCCCATCAACTCATCAGCATTGGATGAGGGCTTTATGATGATCTTAAGGTCTTGTCTAGCCCTGATGGACCTGCCAAAGCCCTTCCAGACCAGAGGCAGAGTAGCTCAGAGCAGCCAGGTTTTAATATCACCCAGTCTGTGCAATCACTGGGTGAGGCAATAATGTTCCAAGCCCAGGAATTCGAAAAGAATTCCTAACTACTTAGCAACATCTAACTACTTAGCAACCTAAGGAGAAGACACTTAAAAATTTTATTGAAAAAAGAATAAGTTGAAGCCATATAGACTTCTGTACTGAATCCATTTATGTTCTTTTCGATGAAAAATAAAACAGATTTGATGGAGGGGAGGGGGGGGAGGGGGAGTGGTTCTAAATGCAATCTTCAGGATTTTGAAGTTGGACAGCCCTTCTTCTTCTTCATTTAAAGGCTAAAGATATAACAATATGACCTCTTTTTAAAGTCAAAGGGAAAACAAGTAAGCATCTCTAAGCTTCCAACATCAAGTGTCCTAAACCTGTCATTCCTTTCCCCATGACTAAGATGTTCAAATTTCCACAGGAAAATAAATATGTCAAATACGCAAAATGCAAACTGCCGTAGAGTCGGATCTGACTCACAGCAACCCCTCCTTGGATTTCCAAAGTGGTATCACTATGGAAGTACATTGCTCAATCTTCCTTCTGAGGAGTGGCTGGTGGGTTTGAACCACCAGCCTTCTGGTTAGCAGTCAAGTGCCTTAGGCACTATGCCACCAGAGCTCCTAAATATGTCAAATATACTCTCAAATTTCAATAACAAGTAGACAAACTATTTTTCAGTGAAGAAAAGACTGTCCTTGTGTCAATGAATGTCATGTCTGTTCACCCAGTCCTGAAGTCAGATCGTAGGAGGCACCAGCACTACATCCCTCCTCCCTGGTCCAAGCTAACACCAAATCCCATCAATTCTATTGCTTAAATACCTCTCAAATACACTCACTAATTCCTCTTTTTACTGCTCTCACTCTAGCCTAACCTACTTTCATACCTTTCCAGACTACAGTAATAGCCTCCTCAGTGGAGAAATATTTCAAAACACAAATCTGATCATCTCATTCCCTTGCATAAAGCCCCGAGCGTACTCTATGGCTCTTAGGAAAACTTCAGAAATGCTTGACAAGGTTCTGAAGGCCCTGATGACCTGACCCCTGTCCTCCTTTGCAGCCATGGCTCATTCACTGAGCTCCAGCCGCTCAAATTTTTCAGCTCCCGAAACATGCCGAACTCTCCCTCTACCTACGACCCGCATCCCTTTCAGACTGCTTCCTCTACTGGTAACATTCTCCTACTCCTGCCACTTGATCTGCTTGTCCTTCTTCAGAACTCAACTCCAATGTCACTGTTTTACAGCAAAGCCATCACTCACTCTCTACGCCAGACCAGGTTCTCCTCTTTCATGCTTTCCTAACTCCTTACACCTCACTCTCACAGAACAATTTGTGATTATCATTTGCCCAATGTCCACTTCCCTCACTAAATTTTAAGCTCCATTAGGGTATGGATCGTGTCTATTTTGCTTACCCACTGTATACCTAGATTCAAGAAAAATGCCTGGATGAATGAATGAATGAAGGAGCTATTTAAAATATAAACACGTGACTGTTCACTTTAAAGATCTTAAGCCAAATGAGCAGCAGCTTAGTTCTACTAACAACTGAGTCTATGAGTCCCCTCTAATAAATGTTTTTATTACTAAAATAATTGAGAATTTATTATACGCAAAACCGTTTTCTAGGTATTTTACACACATAAGCTCATTTAATTCTCACAAGAACCATTAAAGGATCATTGTGAAGGTTAAAAGAGATAATCCGTAGAAACATTTAGAACAATAGCTAGCACATTGTATAGGTGCTCAACAAACCTAAGCTGTCACTCTGCTGTTATTGTTATTGTTATTATTGTTGTTGCCCTAATTTTACACTTGAGAAAAATGAGCTTCCGAAAAGCATAAGAAATTTCTTTATATTATTATAAAGGGCATCATTTTATAAATTTGTTTTCTTTACTTGTGCTCAGAAATAGAAATGCAATTGACTTTTATATATTGACCTTGTACTCAGAGATCTTGCTAAAATATATTAATTTCAATGGTAGTTTGTTTCAGATTTTGTGTGTACACAAATCATGTCACCAGTGAATAATGAGTTTTGTTATTCTTTTCCAGTCCATCCTTACATTTGTTTTTCTTGCCTTACTCTACTTCCTAAAACCTCCGGTGAGGTGTTGAATAGAAATAGTAATAACAGCCATCTTAGTCACATTGCTGATTTCAGGGTGGTGCTGTCAGTATTTCACCAATAGAGATGATAGTTAAGGTAGGTTTTTTGGATTCAGAATCCAGCTCTCTGGCACTGAACCCACATCTTGATTCTGGCTTGTTTCTGCCTCTCTCTGTGCTTACTCCTTTCCCCTGTCTCTCCTGACCTCTGTTCTTCAATCATTTTCTCTCTCTCTTCTTTCCTATTTTCCTTTCTCCTCATCATGTTTCTCTTCTCTTACCATCCTTTCCCTTATTATTCAACGGCTTTAATATAGCCTATATTTTCTAGTCTCAATTTTAAAAGCAGCTGAGTTGAGTGCCTTCTGTTTCTCTTTCCAAAGAAAGGCTTGCTTTTGAATTTTCCTTGGTAGTTTGATAATGTTCAATAGAAAGGCTCCAATTTGCTAAGTCCCAAAGTAAGAGAAATTGAAAAGATGGAGATGTGGAGAGAATCAACCCAAAATGAACAATAAACTACATGGGGACCCCAGCTTGAGGGACTGAGGCAGAAATCAATGGTTATCTATCTCAAACATGCCCTAGTCTATACTTCTTGGAATTCCCTTGTTGTTCTGCTTAGACACTGCCACAGCTTTCTAATGTCCTATATTTCCTTATCTATGGACAAGAATATACAATGAGTATTGCATTCCCTTTTGTAATATATGACAATGTAATCCTTAGGAGCTCTGGTAGCATGGTGCCTAAGGCACTTGACTGCTAACCAGAAGGCTGGCGGTTCAAACCCACCAGCCACTCCTTGGAAGGAAGGTCGGGCAATCCTACTCCTGTAGTGATACTGCCTAGGAAACCCAAGGAGGGGTCGCTATGAGTCAGGGCTGACTCAATGGCACATAACAACAACAACAACCCTTTGAGCTGGATTCTTTCACCTTTGCACTATCTGACACATTTAATGCAGTTCTGATGTTCACTGTATCTACTGATGCTTGACTTTGAGAACGGCATATGTGGTTTTCAATGAGCTCCTTGGTGCCGAGCATTTAGAACCAGCAAAATCCATCTGGGCACATCCTAGTGATAATGGACAGGTGCTATATGTCACAAGACATACACAAGATACAATTCCTAAGGACAAAATTTTCCAAATTGAGATTAGAGATCACATTTGCCCATTTGTCCTAAGTACTTACTGCATATCATAAAATGTTGGTTAATATAATGATAAAGGAGAGGAGTGCATGCAGACTAAGCAGTTTGTGGAAACTCTGTCAGAGTTTATTTTGACCTAGGCCTGCTGGATCTGCTCCCATAATACCCAGTAGACAGTATGTGGGCAGTCAAAAGCCTTAAGATACTGTGGACTGATCTCTTTCAGCTACAGATCTACAGCCAATTCCAAGAAGGCCAAGGCTATTGGAAGGTGGGATGAAGCTCTGTATGGTAACAAGAACCTGGGAAACTTCTATGGGAGAATTCTGAGAAGGAATCAGAGACAGTGCCATGGGTAAGCCAGCCCCAACCCCATTTCTACAAGATATACAAATGCAATGACATTTCTGGAACTTTTATATGCTCTGGGTTAGCTATTCTTGGTAATTTATCTGGTGCTCTGGAGTGAAGGGTTAGAAAATCTTTAAACAAAAGGTACTATAATTAATGCACAGAAAGAGAGAGGTGTCAGCCTCCACCCTACTGGGTTGCCAGTTCTTCTAGGTGAGTGGGGAAAAGAATAGGACCAAATTTCAGGGGCAGGAAAGAAGACTGAGTCTCTAGGGCATCGAGTAAAGGAAAGGGCTCAGGAACATGCTAAGGTTAGAGAAGAACTTGGGAATGTGGCCACGATACTGACACTAGTAGCTTCACACATGGAAGGAGCTTATCTTTCAATGGAGAGGATACTTCCTGCCTGTCTTGCACCCAGGATTGTCAAGAGGTCAGATGAGAGAATGTGAAAGTGTTTTTGCCTGCTGTAAAGTCTGTTTAGGGCTATTCATGACACTTCTGAGCTGTCAACTACATAATCAACATCTTAACTTCATCGTCACATGCAAAACTTTGAGATTGAGGGAAAATACATATATATTGAGACTTGCAAGTGAAAATAA